TCCACCAGAAACCCTGTCCAGTGAAGATAGTTTTACATCACTGTGGACTCAGAGGATCAAGAAAAAAAGCTCCAAAACCTTCAAGCTGGACTGTAACCTGCAGCTGTCCACACGAAGAAGACCAATGTCCTCTGATGGTTAGTTCAAATACAAAGACAAGGACGATGTTTGGAGGAGTCAAAGTGAGACTTTCAGACAATAAAACCATGAACTAACTGTGAGGCACGTTGGTGGCAGCATCATAATGTGGTACAGCRTGAGGAGGACCTCCCAGTTCTTCGACTCCACCTTAAAATAAAGGTGGGTGTTAAAACTTGGACAGTGTTGGGGTCCAACAGGGCCATGATCCCAAACGCATYAGAACTGGTTTCTAATAAATTACTATTCATTTCACTGCATAAACTGCATGAAAATATTCCACAAGTTACTTCCTGTTTCTACTGTGAATATGAAAGGTAGTAATGTGGTTTTTGTGGGATTGTGGTGGCTCAGTGTTCAGCTGCAATCTCATAATCCATAATTTACTGTCTGTGGTGACACCTCAGCCCCCCACCCCCCGAAAAAAAGAAAAAAGAAAAATTTTTTATTTTGAGCTGAAAATTGTTGATTTTAGAAAAGACCTAATATTTAATTTTTTGTGTCAAACAAAATGTTCAGGTATAAAAGCATTACATTCAGTGTGTTTACTTTAATTTAAACCAAATAAAACCATCAAAAACTATCTAAAACATTTTAACCATTGACCCCAGAAGACCCTAGCTCTGTTGTTATTTTGTGTTCGTCTTCAGTCCGGTCCAGTTGGTATCAGTTTATTTTTATAAGAACTTCAGTCAGGACTGAGGCCCCCTGCCATCGCTCCACTGTTTCCTCTGACCCTGGGGGACAATTATGAGGTGACGTGGGGCCCCGGTGGCCCCATCTGGTCCCCAGAGTCCAATCTTGCTGCCGTGTCGGGGCAGCAGCAGCACCTGCACCCCCAGTCCAGATTAAAAGCTCCCAGTCTAATTTTAAATCTGTTAGCGCTGGCCTTTTCAGGGGAAGGGGGAGAGAACAAGACGTATTTGTTCCCATAAAGGGCCTGAATCCTGCTGCCGCTCCGGGCCCCTAGCGCCGCAGACCTGCTGCTGAATTATTACAGTCCGAGCATTCGTCATGTGGGGCGGTGCCGTTAAACGGTGGAGGCGAAGCGGATCCATCCCTCTGTGCCACTATCCTTCAGCTCAATTCCTTTCTGCCCATTTTTCTGCTGTCGGATAGAGGGGACCTACCTGCCGACCCCCAAACGACTAGTATACTGAAGATCCTAAGTTCCCATTGTCCACACTGAGGGTCCATACCCCCCAATGTCCAAACTGGGGTTTCCCCCTCCCCCGTTGTCTATACCAGGGGTCCAAACAACCCAATGTCAAGTATACTAAGAATCCAAACCCCCAATGTTTAAACTGAGGGTCCAACCCCCACAATATCATCTATAATGAAGGTCTAAACTCCCAACATGTATACTGAGAATCCAAACACACCAGTGTCTAAAACGAGGCTCCAAACCCAAGACTCATCAGGCTTTAGCAATTTATCAAATATTTACATTGTGGTTTCTGTGTATTTTTAACGTGGTTTATTTAATATTTCAATGTAGTTTTTTTTTGATCTAAACCAAATTTCATGCTGGTTTACGCAACATTTTGGTTTTAATGTTTATATATACATATATATATATTTGTATTTTACCTTGTTTAACCAGGCAAGTCCTGTTGAGATCACAGATCTCTTTTTCAAGGGAGGCCTGGGCCTGAAGGCAACCTATTATACATGTGTTTTGGGGGGGTGGGGGAAACTGGAGTACCCGAAGAAAACCCACACAAGCATGAGTAGAACATGCAAACTCCACACAGAAAGACCCCAGGTCCGAACCGAGGATCAAACCCAGGACCTTCATGCTGTGAGGCATCAGTGCTAACCACTGAGCCACTGTGGTTCCAAATAATCTAAAAATAAAAACCAGCAGAAGAAAGTCCTGACCCTCAGAGACTGCAGGCCACAGGTCAGGAGTTGTAATGATGAAAGGGTGGTGGACTGAAGAACATAGCTGCCACCATCCCCTCTGCAAAGGAGGCGGGGTTAGCGGCTCTGTCACTTTCTGTTGGCACAGACCCGCTAACGCGCAGAGTCAAACAGAACCGGTTCAGGCCCAGGGTGCTGGTGTCGACGTGTAGCTCTAATTAAAACAATGAGCTGCAGCCGAGCTGCTCCCCCCGAGGCTCCTCCATGGCGGGCAGAGGGCCCAAACTTAGCAGGCCTCTGAGCGGTAGCACCAGCTGGGGCGCGGCGTTGGGCGAGCACGCCAGCTGAGGTGATGACGGCCAACCGCGGGCAGCCAGGGGTTAATGGGAACGTTTAGAGGACAGCAGAGTCTTTTTGTGGTGTGGACCCCCGCACCCCCGGCTCTGAAGAACTGGCAGGGTTGGTGTTTGTCACAGCTCCGCTGCCGTACAACGTCAACAAGTATCTGTGTTCGGGGCTGAACGGGCCAATCAGGAGCTCTGAAGTGACTTACAGCGACAGAACTGATGTTAACGAGAGCTGGAACAGCCACCGCTGTTGGGTGGGGGGGTGGGCAGCTGGAGGCGTGCTTGGACAGCTCTCTGAAAATCAAAGTACTCATCTTCTTTTTGTTTCCAACTCTTCCTCCTCTCCATCCTTATTCCACCTCCGAACACCACCCAACAGGAAGTCCAGAGTGTGGGGGTGGAGGGGGTGCAGACCTTGACAGACAGGAGGTCAGTGTAATTGCTGGCGGCCATATTTAACATTAAGATAATCAGGACATTAATTACCCTTTGGATCATTAAATCAGCCACTTGCAAAATGAAATTTCAGCCTCTATTACTCACTTGAGAGACCACGAGGGGGAGGGGGTGGGCATCTTTTCATCTATCAGCACCCCCCCCAACCCACCCACCATCCTGCTGCCTGGACAAAAGTCTCCTCCTGCCTCGTCTCATATCACAACCTACTCTTTTTTTGTCCAGTTCTGTCAGTTCTTTTTCTCTGAAACAAGTTGTGATTCAGTGTGTCAGCACAAAACCCAGACCAGGAAGGGTTTAACCTCAAACCTACCCTGAGACTAGACCATGAGGGGTTTAACCTCAAACCTACCCTGAGACTAGACCAGAAATGGTTTAACCCCAAACCTACCCTGAGACTAGACCAGAAAGAGTTTAACCCCAAACCTACCCTGAGACTAGACCAGAAAGGGTTTAACCCCAAACCTACCCTGAGACTAGACCATGAGGGATTTAACCTCCAAACATACCCTGGGACCAGACCACAAGGGGTTTAACCTCAAAACTACCTTGAGACTAGACCACAAGGGGTTTAATTTTAAGTTTAAGTTTAATTTCTCTCACCCCCAACAGAAACTAAACTATTTATTATTTAAAAATGGACAGGACAGAGAAAAGATGAAACAGAAAGAAAAGTAAAAACTTTAAATTACTTAGGAATTTATGAGGTAATTTATTTCTAAACATTGGTAAAAAGACGTTCTAAGGCTGAAATTTGAAGGAAGTTCTAAAGTCAGTATTTCCGAGTCTGGACCYGGACCCAGAACTCTCAGAGAAAATCTGATCTGATCTTTAAAGTAAAAAAAATAAAATAAAAAGATGTTGGATCTGAAACTGAGGGGTAAAATACGATGGAAGACTCAGGGCAGGAGGTTAGGAATCAGCGATTCATGGAGGGAAACGACAAAGTGTGAGCCACTTAAGGAATGGACTGATAAACACTATTGACAGGAAGGAGGAGGTGCAGGACACATGCAGCTGCAGTGGAGCGTTGCAGGTTAATTGAGATAATATTGACCTCCTCCTCTAATCTCTTCAGGTGGGGGCGGGAGAAAGGGAGGGGGGCATGTTTCAGATTCATAAATAAACAGCAACATGAGCAAATATAAAAGCATCAGTGTTCAGATGGAGGGGTGCTAACGACTCGTCGATAATCGTTTGGTTGTGTGATAAACCTGCTGCTGCTGGAGCAGAAAACAACCTATAAATTAGGTTTTTATTTATGCAGGAAAAAAAAGGTTTTCTAGAATAAAAGACAAAAACTCTGTGTGTATTTGCTTTAAAGAGGTTAGCTGTTGTGTTTCAGGACATTCAGGGTTAAATGTTTGTGAGCTCGGAGTAGGGAGGAGTAATTATAAGGTGCTTCTGTTGACTAATGAGGGGAAGGAGGGGTGAGAGCAGGGGGACACGGGGAAGTCCATCTTTATGAGAACGGCAGTCAGCTCTAATTTGTTATGATGGCCTCCCAGAGCCGCATAATTACACACACACACACACACACACACACACACACACACACACACACACACACACACACACA